CATTCCTGATTACCTTCTGCAGATACAGTGAATGCTCGTAAGGTATTCCTATAGAATCCACAAAGCCACTCTCACATTTTAAGCATAACAGACTATAGACTTAATACCACTTAAAATGTTAACAGATTTAAAGATTGCATAGCATCAAAATTTGTGTTTTAGACTTGTAAGAAGTTATATATTGAATTTAGAGTTCTATGGGCCTATCTCTGCTTTTACTAGAATTCCTCATGACTTGCGTTACAGATGGCATTTGTCCATGATTGCACTTGTCCTTGTATTTTAATTCAGGTTAGAAATAATATTGGCTAAGAATCCTCTCAAACCCTTTCATATTTTTAATGCTTTGAAGACACGTCTCTGGATAACAGCAAACATAACATACAGCTAAGTATTAAAATGCAGTTAAAGTGAGGAATAAACAAGTGCTCACACAGTTTTTGGCATAAGTAACTACCATACCAAGTAGGTTTGACTTATAAAACAATAACTCCTTTAATCCATACAGCAACCTCAACATTCACTTTTTAAAAATTTGTAGACTGAACAGTAAGATTCTGCAAATGAAATTTTTTCCGTAGTTCATCTTGTTCAATTCTGTGAAAACAGGGTGACATACAGTTGTACAGTGAGCAGCTTTCAACCAGTCAGAAAACATTAATCATCCAATCAGTAGTGTTTCATATATAGCTATAAACAGCAGCAAAGCTTACAATAACACAAGCAGACAGGACTCAGTAACTTGATCAAAAACACTGCAACCAGTTTTGAGAATACAGAAGTTTTGCTGAAGATAAAAGGGTAACAAACCTAACTAGCTGTTCTTTCATACAGGTTGTATGACAAAACATGCAAAAATACTTTATTCTGTGATACTGCATGACCTGTTTTAGAAAAGACAAAAGATTATACAACCAAAAACCAATGGGAAACATTCAAAACTGCCATCCTATCACAGAGTTTGTCTTGGAGGCTCATGGATATTTGGTAAGTACTAATACTAGAAACCTGCACATTCAAGGAAGCAAGATTTACAAATTCCAGATTCTGAAAGCCTTCCCACTGTCAATCAGGTAAAGTCTATTAACTTTTTCATTTGTGACAACTAACTACACTGGCTTATGTTTTTAACCCTTCAGTCCACTCACAACCAAGTTGCAGCAATTTCTTTTTACAGTGAAGCAGCCTATTTGGTGAAACAATAAAGAAAATATGTTACAATAGTTCCTATATTCAGTATATTTACCTGAAAGCAATTTCAGAAATAAGACTATATATTTAAAATACAATAAACAAAATTGGTTTTGATTCTGAAAGAGGGAGTTTTTGAGGCACAGAAGGGTGAAGATGCTGCACTAAGAACTGACTGACGCATTCACAACACTATGCTTCCCCTGAGGGAATAAGGTTGTGTCTCACTTGGCAGAAGAATCTGCTAGTCCTCATGCAATAACTGAGACCAGACAGGAGGGCACTGGAGGCCAACAATACCTAAAATCTGTAGGACTTTTGAAGAAAATGTTCAGAATGTAACTATTTTTAATACATTTCAAATCATTTTAAAAATTAGTTTATGTGGTTAAACTGAGGTCAGGAACAGATCATAGAGCTCTAGGAAACAGACACTTAGCCAAAAGTTTAGATTTGTCTGAAGAAAACTTTCGAAAGCATACAGTATGAGTCAAAAATTATTAAGTAGTAATAGAGGCCATTACTTTTTTAACATTTCTTCCTTTTTTTTATATTGGTCACTTCCTTTTTCAAATGGGAACCCGCTGAACTGACCCACGTTCTTCTTTAGCGAAGCAACCTGGAACAGAGCACACAAATTACTTTCCATTGCAAGTAGCTGAAAAGATGTCATTGAATTAGTTTAAAAGATTTCATCCAATTCAAACAATTATGTTCGTTCAACTTATTTGCTCATACAAGAAAATCCAATCTAACATCTAGCTTTCCGTTGACCAGAATTTAAATCATTTAAAAAAAAAAAAAAAGAAAAAAGAAAAAAAAAAAACCTTACATGGGTTATGCCTCTGTCTCAGGACAGCTAGACTGTAACAATTAAGTTCTTGTGATCTTGATTATTTTAAGGAATTAAAATAACTTACCAGGTAAACTCTCCTGCCGTTTATAGCTTGTTTCACCTGCCATTTAGAGCTTGTTTAGAACATAATCACATAATTATTTATAGATTTGAACTACTGTGATCACATGAATCCTGCTGCATACTTTACATAATATAACTTGCTGTAGAATAGCATACTTTATTTTTACTAAATAATCTGTTAGAGTACATTTCCTTTATCTGCTTTTTGAAGTCTTACATAGGATCATGGTTGTACTTTTGAAACTTGTCTTTAGTGTGACCAATTTTCACATTTACACACCACCTAATTTATGAGTTCTAACATTATACCTGCAATCAGAACAGGACTTCCATTGCAACAGCCCTTACTAATGGGAAAAATGCTTCAATCAAGATCCTAAATAATTAGAATTCTTTGTTTTCTTTCTACCTCCTCTTACTAAAAAGTTAAAAACACAAAATCATTTATTCCTCGGATATTTTTTCAAACAATTCCTTGTAATATTAAAATCACTTCCAATAGTTTCACAAATTTTGTTTCTGATGTTACTTTATAAATTTACCAAAGCTACGCTCCTTTTCCCAAGAGAACTGTTTTTGTTCAGCACCTAAAGAAAATTTACAGATGGTATTGATACATTTTACTAAAAGTGTTAATAATGTTCCAAAGCACACACAGAACGTGCATACAAGACAACAATAGACCTTCACTGCATTACAAGCATTCTGAAATATCCACAGTTCTGATTAAATATAACATAAGATCAAACCATCTTAATATATTTCCAAACAGAACATATTTTGAGTAAATAAATACACATTCTTTTTTTTTTGGATCAGAAGTATGGTTTTCAAAAAAAATAATGAAAATACATTCAACACTCAACATGTCCAATTATTAGAGGGTTTTTTTTTTTTTTAAGGACTAGGAACATTCTTATGAATATTACTAAAAGCAGAGATAAATAACTCCAAGGTTAAAAGGAGGTCTGTGAAATACTGACTCTGGTCTACCAATGACAGGGCGTATCATATTTGAGGTCAGAACACAGGTGCTACTGTAAAATGAATTTAGAAACAGAACACGATATTAAAACGAGAAACTTTCCATGATACAAAAACTGAAGAAGCTGCATAGCTGGAAAAAATACCTTTAAGTGAGAGAATTCTATCTCAGTCACTTCAAGAGATGATGCTACTTGGTATCTGAGCAAGAGGTCCTGCAGGTATACCAGGCCTCTGGAGGAAACAAGGAGATTGTCCAAAGAACATATCAAGGGCAATGATTTGTATTCAAGCACTTAAGACAGCAGGATGACGTGAAAGCCCCAAAAAAAGCATGAAAAACGTTGCTCTGATACATGAACTGTCTGTATATAGGACAGGAAAGTACTTGTAGTTCACTGGCACTAGGTACAGGAATCAATGCTAACATAGACTGATCTGTCTTAAGTAAGGTAAGCAATATGTAACCAGCACAAACCAGATAACTGAAGGGGAGTTTGGTGGACCTTCAAGGAAACAGAACCTTGCAAGGCCACCTGTACCCAGGAAACCACATCAGTAATGCCATATAAGGCAGAGATTGTCCAGGTAATGCTATCAGAAACACCAAATTTTGAACAGTAGGAGCATGGACGCCTGTGGAAGGTAGCAAAGCTGACCTGAGGATTCAAATCCACTAGGATACAGAAGTGATCCCCCTGAACAACTGGCTAGACTCTCCAACAAGTTTACTTCCAGACAACTAAGCGTAGGAGAATAAAACAGAGACATGGAATTGCACCCAAATACTATCTGATGCAGGAGGGAAGGGTGACAAGTTGCATGTTGATAGCAATTACGTGTAATTAATAAGATTTAAGAGTGATAAATAGTAGTTTCATAATTATGTGCAAAATGATATAACTGTAAATTGGTAATAGCGTGTCTATTAGTTGATTTGGTTATTGTTAGTAATTGATTTAGTAATCAATAATAACATTAATAATCGAGATATTAGTTTCTTAGCAGTGTGTTGCTTAGTCAAACATTATAGTCTCTTAAATCAGTCATGTCTCAGGTCTGCAGTTGAAAGAGGGAGAGGCAGACCCTGAGACAACAGTATCCAAGTACCTCCAACTGAAGAAGGTACCACCAAAGGAAAAAAAAACCCATCAATAAACATGGAAGAAGCCACTGAAAGAAATCACACATTCAGTATCTTACCTTTAAAACTGATACTGAAAGTATTCCCCATGAAGCATTTCAACCAAAAGTGTTACTGGTCTTAAAGGGCAAATGGAGGCAGTTTGATGTTTTCCACTATAAAGCTAGTTTAACTAGAAAGTGAAATGGTTCTGTCATTCTACCTGTCTCAACAAAAAAATTCCACTGTAGAATACCCAGAAATTTGCAAACCTCTGTACGCATTGAGTCAGAAATTCTTTAGTCTGGTTTGTTGCTACACTGACTAGACATCATAATTCACAAAAATAAGTTTTAATTGGTATATGCAGTTCTCCCTTTTTCTGACTACTTGAGACAGCAAATCTTTGCTTTGCCATTTAAACAATGATTGCATTTTTGATAGCGGTTTGAGACATTGTAACCAGCATGCATCTGTACTAGTACTCTTCAATCCCTGGTTTCTGTGCCAGCTGATTTTAAGCTTCAAAAATATACAGAGAGCTTCAAGAAGAAATCCTGCAAGTATGGTAAGTTTATTGAAAGGGTAAACTTTAATCTATCTTAGTTTCTCTATATCTACTTCACCCTTATTAGCAAGGAAAGCGGGTCATATTTATTTTGAAATCTAAGGCATGATCACTGGAATATAGAAGGTTCCAAGAAAAGTTTACTATCATATTTTCTTTAAGGTTCATCCCTGGATATAAAAGAGATCATACAAGTTTTAAACTAATATTTCAATTCAGTCTGATTTTAGATAAATATGAGGAAATCACTATTCAAGTTTCGCATATAGTTTTACTTTCTACTGCTCTGTGCAAAGGGAAGAGGAAAATGACTTGGTAAACAGCCATCTAGTAAAACCCGCTAATACAGCTATCAAACAAAGAAAATTGAAGAATTTAGAAGAAGTTATGTTGAACAAAAATAACTGTACTTCAACTATTTTAACTACAATCTGCATATAAGCAATTTTTAGCATGTGGCCCATAAATTATTTCCAACTGGTCCTCATAAAGTAAAGCAATCTTGAGGGGGAAAAAAAAAAAAATCTATATTCAAACAGCGTATAATTCAGTCCACCTTTCCACAGCATTTTTAGAGAGGGACTGGTGTGCAGGAGTTAGAAAAATTATGGGCTTAACTACCTGTTCCTGTAATATTCATTCATTTCCTATATAGCCTGCAATAAATGATGCTTTTAAGAAGTAGATCTACACGTGCAGTTGTAAAAAAAAAAAAACTATACTAGAAACATTTTCACTAACAGAACTAATAGAAATATAGGATTGAGTTTAAGTTCTTACTGTGCCTGGCCTGTTGTAGAGGAGTTTGTGTAGGTTCCTAAGTTCATCTGTCTTCTTTTTACTCAGAAAGAACTGTATCCTTTCAATTTCACAGAGTTTTTGTCCTTTTCCTGAAAGAGTTAAAATCAGTTCTGTGATTCATCACAATCATATTTACCTACGTGTTTATGACTTCAAGTATCCATATATTTTTTTTTAAAGCAAATAAATTGTTTTAACATAGCATCAGACATTATAATATGTCAAACATTAAGCAGGACTTTTCTTATCAATTAGGCATCTGATAACGACCTTTTTTCCTACCTGACGCTACCTATTGGCATTTCTTTCTATTCTAGCTTCCTCTGCCTTTTTAAGTAGTGGCTATACACTGAAGTTCCTACTCAAAGTAGTGTTTAAATATTCTGTAATTTCTATGGTTAAAAGGGTTTTGGTGTAATTATAATAGCCTTATATTTTAAAATGTCCTATTACTCCATTAAGTTCAGTCTCACCTACAAAAATTAATAGTTTGATCACTTAAGAGGTTTCATTACCATTCACAACATTTAAAATTCCCATACAACAGGACAAGCTTACCTGGTGTAATTGTAAAAGGTTCCTTTTGTAATGAGGACACCTGCATGGTCAGTCGGTCTACTTTCTTTTTCTCTCTTTTTCCTTCAACAATGAGACTCTTTTCTGCAAAAAGACAGCTTCTGTAAACATCGTATTTTTCATGAGAAGAACCGATTGCATCACAGCGATGGCTAATATAACTCAGAATCTTTGCAAAGGCAAGCCAAAAAAAGGGATAACAATATAACCAAGTACTATGATACTTTTAAACTTTCGGCTAAGAGGTCAATGGGACTTCAAGGAGCTGCGTACTGGAATTTAAATCCTGACGACAGCTCTGTATCCAACCTAACCTTGAAGAGAAGCCTGGGCCCTTCCCAAAGGGAACTCTATCCCATTATGGAGATTGCAAAGGGAACTCTATCCCATTATGGAGATTGCAGCACTACACATTTTTAGAAACCCAACACAGTAGGACTGTACTAAACCACACAGGGCTGTGCAGTGCAGCACTTCACAGGGCACAACAAGACTGGCATCACAAATACCACAAGTATATTATTCCCAGTGATTCTGTTATCATTTAGTACTGCACACTTTTTGATTTTGTTTTCTATACACTGCACATCACTGGACCACAACGATACCACATGCCAAGAGGAAAACTTCAAAGCTTCATAAAGCTAAACATTTCACAGTGAAATACTTGACCCCAAATCACACTTCACGCTATCTTTAGCGCTAAACTACTGGGCTATTCTGGCCTCAACAGCTTAAAGTAGAGTCACAATGTGTATGAATGTAACTAAAACTGGACACATATCTGCTGAAAATGGAGCAAAACATATTTGTGCATACACAGTAAACAGTTTAATTACAATTATAAGCCCATTGGTCAAAACCTAATTCTAGTTACTCTATTGTCTCCCAAACTACACTGTCTTTTTCTACTGCTTTCTTGAAGACAAAACTCAGTTCCTTTAAGAAACCAAGGCCACCAGTGACTCAGTTTTCACTCTGCCATGCTGTAGCTCTATTTATACATGGGCGTTCATTTGCAAAATAGGTGCCTAGAAACTTCACTATGGAAAGAAACATTTTTGCACAGGAGTTTCTTATCATATCTTGCATTCCTCGACTACCCTCTTCAATTACATGCTGTAGCATAAAATCTTCCTTGCTTACTCCTCCTATGATATCAGCATTAACAACTCTGATTGTTTCATGCAGAGATATGCCATGATTTTTATAGATAAAATTAGTTACTTGGAAATACTTTTTCTACAATTAAGTAGTGCAGCCCAGTAAAATAACTTACAGTAGTTAAGCAAATAAAGACATCTGTATTGCTTCCTAAACTACTTCACAGCTTTTTAAAATTTCTCTCTTCTGCAAACATGGATCATTTCAATGTGCTACTAGAAAAAAAAAAAGGATTCTTTTTGGATATGCATGTTTCTACAGCTAATTCAATATAAGACTCTGTCTCTTACAATTATCTACGAGTTTATCCAAAAAAAAAAAAAAACAAATAAACACACTCCAGTGCAGGAACCCAGGATGCTGGCAATTCCTTCAGTCTTTTCTGAGGAACATCAGCATTATGGTTTCTAGGGCTAAGTCTGTTCTGTTAAGAGTCTACTAGGAAGTGATTTATGATCCATGGGACAGCTGTCCTGTGGACTCTCCTAAACAACAATTGTACAATTTTTTGTGATCACAGAGACTGCACTCAATAAGCCTGGCATTTTTTTAAAATGATAAATCATTCTGAAGAAACAGAGGTACCTTTTTCTTCTTCCTCCTCCTCTTCCTCCTCTTCCTCCTCATCACTTTCCTCAGCTTTGTTCTCAGTTTCAGGTTCTTTCTCATCTGCTTTTTCAGATGACATTGTATCTTCTTTTGATGAAGCAACAGACGACATGGTGTCTGGTTCTATAAAAAGCAGTCAGTAAAACCATCAACAATACAATATAATATGTAAGCAGCACAGGAATTTTCCTTTTTAAAAAATCCCTTTGTATGGTAGAAGTCATGTCATAGTACTCCTGTTGTGATTGCTCACATTCTTTAAGCCACAGATGAGTATCCTGCATACACAAAATTTCTTCAACAGTTTTGTCATCCATTCTGCAACTAATCTGCTTGAGAACAATTTAAGAGGTTATCAGTTCTTTCCACACGCAATAGTCTTAAAGCTTGCTTTGTGAAGTATTCAGGAACACCCAACCCTAAAAGCAACTGATATTGTATCTATTAAGAACTGTAACGTATTAAAATATTACAATCTTAGTGCAGCACATTACAAACCGAAGTTATTTCTGATCACAGTTAACTGTACATGCAAGTTTCCTAATCAATTTAACAGACTATACATTTACACAGGAAATAGGAACTGAAAAAAAAAAAAAAAAAGAGCAACTCATGGAAAAGTTAACACTGCTTTCTGAGTACAAATAGCTGCATGGCATCCTAGGGGTTGAAAACACTTTTTAGTTTTAATCTGCAAGTCTACAAAAAAAACGCAAAACAAAACCACACTTCATACTTAGCAAATTTAAGAGGAGTCTTTTAATATTCGAAGTGGCTTAAAGGTTAAGTTAAACATCTCATTTAGGTGAGGGCCATTTCCCCTACTTTCCCTAATGACAGAGGGAATGCCTATCTAACAAAGGAAAATAAGCCTATCTATTTATATTAAGATGACTCCAGCTTTTAAAATCTTTCACTATTTACATGTCTGGAACAAAACACAGCATGGGTTGTATAAGCCAGGGGAAGGGAATGTGTGTGTGAAATCACATGATTAACCACCTTGTTCCAGCATTAAAACCAATACATGTTCAGGAGTTCAGACTCAATAAACAATAATCAAATCAACTGCACAGGAGCAAGATTAGCAGGTGTCAGAGAAGAGCAACACACCAAATGACAGAAAACATGAGCTACAATACCAATAGTAAGGGCAAAAAGAAAGTTTACTCTCCTTTGTTAAACGACTTGAAAAAAACCCTCTCTTTCGGGGAGGGGGGGGGTGCCGGTATGTCAGTTTGACACAGGAAGAGTAATTCAACTTCTTCACGATTCTGCTCTGTGAATTTTACCCTTTTACACGAGTGAAAAAGTAAGCAAAGTACTACAAACTGCCTTCCCCCCCTCTTTCAGTGGGGGCGGGGAAGGAAAACAGGAGAGTAAGAGACTTTTGCCTTTTCAGCATCCAGGTCAGTGAAGGCCTGTTTGCTCAGGAAAAAAACGCACAGGGATCCACCCTTAAAGAGAGTCAAACCAGGGATACTTTCAGCCACACGAGAAGGAGAAATAAGGACAGGGTATCCCGCAAGGGGAGAAAGTGACTTGTGCACAGCCACACCTCCCACCCTCCCCGGGACTGTTCAGACATGGACTTGCCTCCACCCCTCGCCTTCCCGACCGGCGAGCCGAAGGCCGGGGAAAGCGATCTCC